GTGCAAGCGCGCCCCGCCGGTAGGCGCAGCCGCGGCCGTATCAGAAGGACGGCACGCGCCGGCGTCAAGGTCCGGCGAGAGCGACTGGGGTTGAAAAAATATAGTTGAAGGATTCTGAATCCATAGAAAAGCACGATGTTGCGCTTTTTTTTTATGAAAAAATAAGTTTCAGTCAAATCCCTAGGCCCAGATTTTCATAATAAATAATTAGACTTACGTCACATTGCTCTCTAATCCAGGTTTTTTCGATTCAAATCTTCAAAAAAGGGCTTTCGTGGGCGACGACTTGCGATGCAAATGTCAGTAACTATCAAAATAAATTTGTCTTACCCCAAATACGACCCCCCTCCCCAGAGCAAAAGTACGACCCCCCATGTGCTTTCACACAAGGATGCTGTATGCGTACCGTGCTTGTGGCGTTCAAGAAAGCGCGCGTGTCCCACTAGGCCGAAAAGTAAAAACCCGCGTTGTCGTCAACGTGTTAAAGGTACATTCACTGTGCCCGCGATTAATAAGCCAGCTGCAGACGGCTGTCAAGATAAAATAGCGTTCACATTTGAAAGGGTGTAGATGGTTGCTCTTCGTATTCAACGCTATGTTTCAGCTGGCTGCGAAATGGTGTAGTATAGAACAGCTTAGAATCTGTCAGAATCTAGAATTAAAGCTCTGACATGGGAATCTCCCCAAATCCTTGGAATGACTGAATCCCGGTAGGTATTCTGACAAGTTCACCTTACAGAGTCTCTCAAGCCTTCTGATCCAGAAGCCTGGATTACCGGTTGGTCCATCTTCAGTCGCCAGTGTTCCAGAGAAAACCGTCCTCTCTCACTGAGCAGATCAAGATTTGTCTCGCGCTCAAGCAGCTCGTAGACGTCTTCCTTATACAAGTAGTCTGGTCCTCGGTCTCTGAGACTGTCCCTTTCTCGCGGCTCCACAGCAATAAAAGGCACTGCAGGCCATGAGTGGCAGTTCTGAGCCTTTCTAGTTGCCCCGCTCCATCCAAGTCCAACAAGCAAGCGTGCCACACCTTCTCTACGCGTTTTTTCGCCTTCTTCCACTGTCGAAGGTATCAGCATGGATACACGAAGCAGACGACTAGCGCTGCTTCAATTACTTTGCGTCAGCATACGGTAGGTAGTTTCGACTTTACGCCAAGCTACGACGGAAATGTTAAGTATCGATCTAGCGAACCGCCAGCGTTGTGCCAGCGGGTTACAGCAGCTTTTTGCGGGTAGTTCGCTCAAGTTCCAATGGCCCACAAACACTGACGTGCATTCCTACTCAGGCAGGGTACAGCATCGTTGTGCGAAACCCATAGGGGGGTCGTACTTGGCCGCTGGGGAGGGGGGGGTCGTAATCTCAAGGGTCACTCAGAGCCGAGCAATGCTTCGACATTTCAGTTGATAGTGGGAGTGGAGCTATGGAAGTCAAGATGTTAAAAAAATGAAATTATTATGAGTGTATTCTTTACAGCTTTAAATGCTACGTTTAACAGCCCTCTTTTCATGGGAAATCCCCAAGAATGGGTTCGTACTTGGCCGCGGGGGACGTGGGGAGTATCGCAAAAGTAGGCTCGCTAGGCATCAAACAGTACAAAGGTGTCATTGCTAAGGGTAATGGAACGGACGGAAAGCTTCAGAAGACCCGGATGTAAATAGGAATACAAAATAATAAAAGATTTATTAGCAATATAGCAAGAATAAATAAATAAATAAATAAGTGTCAGTTTATAGTACGTAGATGACTAAATAATACGTCTCAAACAGATTCGTGCGTGTTGTCCTTTACAAACCCTAAACAAACATCTGCTTGCATGGATAAAAGCACCTGAAATTAGAATTTACACCTTTCCACCACCTCTGCGTAGGAGCCTAATGCACGGCGCACGGACCAAACCGATTAGTGATAGCCGAGCTCCTCTTCCACTCATTTGAAGGGAAATATGTATTTTGGAGGCACACTGAAAGGTGTATCCTCACAATGGCACATAAGGAGTCAATTTTTCGGGTGGTCCAGGGGGTAGCGCAAGGGTAACCCATCTAAAATATCTCCTGAACTAGTGGGTCTTCAGAAAAACTGTAAAGCTTATTGGAAAGAGAAAAGATGGAGGGGTTTCAGGACGTTTTTAATCCTGATGAAATTGCGTTTGAACGAAGCAATCCTCGCGTGAAGCATGGAAACCAGCTCGCGATTTACCCCTAGCCTATCCAAAACCCATCCGGAATATTTCACCAACGGGGGATTGTTCAGTTTGCAACTAGGTAGAATACACAACAGTAGAAACTTTGCCGTTGCATGCTGCTCACCATTCCTCAAAAGCTCCGCACCTAAAAAAGATATAACCCCCCGAACAGACCCCAGGACGTTGGCAAGTCCAACAACCGCGCTCCAATGACGTTTTTCCAAAGAAAGCGGTCGCAGCCTTGCGCCCTGCAGCCTGATCGATAATAGCCAAGTATGGAACGATTTACTGCCGGCCTGGTTATCCTTTTTTCATTTAGCTCTGCATTTTTTGTATTTTCCATGTTTCGCTTTGTTGTGTCGTGCATGTTTTCATTATTTCCCCGTCACCATTCATTGAATGCACATCTGGGCCCTGACACGCTCACCTTGGGGCTATTTTTTCACCAATTCAGCCTATCAATGATCACCATTAGCCGCTATTTCAATTGTGTTTCTTTTACAATACATAGTTATCGAACGAGGAGTTTTATTTTGAATCCTAAGACAAAATTGTAGGTAATGCGAGGCTGTTGTTCAGCCTCATATTGCATGAGGCTGAAACAGCCTTTTATTTCCTGTATTTTAGAGCAGAGTGCGCCTTTCGAGAATCCAGATTCCATTTCAGGAAGCCATTTGTGGTGAACATGCATCTGGTTGTCAGTTAGAGCAGGAGGGGGGGGGGTCGTATCTGGACCCTCTTCGAGGGGGGGGGTCGTACCCACACCGCCATTTGACACATCCCCATGCTGTACCCTGGCTACAATTATCTATTCATTTCTTTTCCATTATCAGCAGTAATGTTTGTCACATGGACACAGACCGTGTTGAAGATGCTGACATGTCACTATGTTTTTCTATCTACTTGCGATACGCTATTTTCTGCCCCAAAACTAGTTCACCAAACCTTAGTTGTCATGTCCATCGTTATTTCTCACCATCACAAGAATTTTGAGAATTTCGCTAGCACTTCAGCTGACCTCTTTGATGAACGCAATCTCGTGATTTCCCAAACGTTTACACTACTGTTATAATACCCCTTATGACATCAAAAGGGCTGAAAATAATACGCTTTCCAATGTTGTTAAGTCCTTTTGAGGTGTTGCGCGCATTCAGCTTCTACCGTGCCTAATGAAGTAGGGATTTGGCGGGCCGAGTTTTAACAAGTGATATTCCTATCCTCGCTGGGCGAATTTGGTACCGATTCAGCGAGTCACTAGAGGAAGAAGGCTTGTTTTGGCCTGCGGGTAAACAAAGCGATCCCCGGTCAAATCCGACGTTTCTCCTGGAGATGCAGATCTAACAACCACTAGTGGGGCTGACGCCGTTTAGATGCGCTCATTTTTGGCTGCCAGCACATTTATGAAGTGCCTAGATCACCAAACCCATGAAAACTTGGGGTAATTTAACACACCGATTACGAATATGGCATTCATTCTTGGCGCTGGCGCTAATGGAGAACATCACGATTATCGTCTGTGCTCAGCCTTAGCAAAGCGCAGATAATCGTAGTGTCCTCCATTAGCGCCAGCGCCAAGAATGAGTGTCATATTCGTAATCGGCATCAAATTACCCCTGTATACAAGTTTTCAGCGGATTTGGTAATTTAGGTACTCTATAAACGAGCTCGCAGCCAAAAGTGAGCATGTTCAAACGGTATTAGCCCACTAGTAGTGCCTCTTGTTAGCGTGCCGTCTGGCTAGTGAACTTTCTGCTGAGAAGCTGCAGTCGTTTCGCTGCAGATTCTAAAGCGTATCAAGGTGGCTGTGTATGGGGCGGCGCCAGCCTGATGTCCATCAGTTGTTGAAGCGGCCAAGCGACAGCAATAGGTGGGAAAGCCAAGCCCAGTCCCACTGGCACGCCTCAGTGTTTGCAGCGAAAAGACTACGCTATGTACCTATGGTCGTTTTTACAGATTTGGCTGCAATGCTTTTCTTGGCTCTTTTTATCGGTTTTATTAGCTACTTCTTCATCAGATTATGGAACCAGAGAAGGAAGTTACCGCCAGGTTTGTTCTGAAATTGGGAAGGATTCATTTCAGTGACTTATGATAATGCAATAAGGACGCACCAGGACCTCCAAGCATTTGTGTACTTGTTCTTAGATAGTAATGCTGCTAATACTTTCCTGAATCTTTAGTTCTAGTTATGGCTGTAATTTCACGTTGTGGCAACTTCTCGCTGTATACCCCCCTCCCCCCACCCCCTTGAGCTTTTTCCCAAAAACCTGATGTTTTACCATCGAGCGCGGGGAGGTTGATAGAGTCCTCCGATTGACTACTAGTACATATTTCCTCCACACCTCCGACTGGGGCTCCAACTAGGGAACAAGGATAGTGTACAGCGCACGCGAAACGAGAAAAATCGCCAATAGAGAATTTTCCTGGTGGCAAAAGATAGTCCCCTGTCCTGCGGCCAATTACGACCCCACCCCCCTTTGTGATTTACGGATGATGTGCCCTGGTGTCTGGATGAAACTGCAGCTTTACAGCGCCGTTACGCTCACTTCCGAGTTCCTAAACCGGGGACGATGTCAGTTTTATGTGAATCTGGACAACACTCCTCGATGGAGACGGATTTTTTTTCTCGTTTTTCTTATGCTGAGAAGAGTACTTTCGCGGGCCTGGCAACGCCTATGTGATAAGTGTGGACTGCCTTTAATCTAGCTGGGTACTGGAACGAGTATTTCCCCAAAGTTTCTTTTACAAATGTCCTGATTATCTGCTTTCAGGTCCACTGCCTTTGCCTTTCATCGGCAATGTTCCTCAACTTTTTTACAAAATGATCATCAAGAAGAAGACCGTTGTGGAAGCCACTAGGGAATGGGCGAAGGTGTGGAGAAATAGTCCTATGGAACCAAATTAGTAACGTTTCACATGAACGTTTTCCAGGAATACGGCCCGGTTTACACTTTTTGGTTCGGACCGAAGCCCACCGTCCACATCTGCGATTACTCTATTGCCGTTGATGCGATGGTGAAAAAAGGCTCGGCGTTCGCCAGTCGCAATCTCCCTTACCTACCCGTTATGATAAGAAGTCAGTTGGACGCGGTAATGATTCTGTTACACCAGTTTTCTTTGCAATTACTCTTTGAATTTATGGCCCGAAGTTCTGTTAATGCAGAGCAAGGACCTTCAACAGGAATATG